TATTTGTGCGATTGTCGATTAAAAAGCAATTATTGCACGTGTCTGAGGCACTATAACAACACGTATATAATCTGCATGTGCGCCTTTTACTAGAAAAGGCATACATAAGTAATTTTAAGGACCGTAGCGCTTATCACGCTGCAGTGACCATTCAACGCTTGCATGAAAAGGCGAGTGTTTCCAACGCTTTTCTAAAACGAGACGGTGGTGGCACCTACCCGTCGCCTTGCGTTCTACATCTTATCACCTCTGAGGCGGGCGCGCACAGTCCGTCTCAGAGCCACGCGCTTTGTTATTGAAAAAAACTGCCAGATGGCGCTCATGTCTCACGTGTGACGTGACTTGATACGCTCGTTCGCCTCTGCTGCACGCTCGAGTGTCTAACGCAGCGCCTCCAGAACCCCATTCACTGATTTTCTTGAGCAGAACATCAAATAAATGTTTTGTTAACTCTCTTTACACGCAAGAGTATCGTCTTTCGATGACATTTGCAGATTAAATGCAGATACGGGGCCAATTTTTTATCCAGATTTGTTCGTACCTGTCTATCATTCATGTCTAGCACATGATGTCATAAGGCTGGTCGGAGATGACTCTGCGTTCGAAGGCTTTGATGGCCGGCCTGGAGTCGCTGTAGATGAATTCCCGTTTGCTGTCGAGCATAGCTATAGCTACTTGCTCCGCTACTTCGGGGTTTCGGGTGAGGATTGTGGCTGAGTTAAGAGTCGCCCCGCCGCGGTGGTCTAGTGGCTAAGGTACTCGGCTGCTGACCCGCAGGTCGCGGGTTCTATTCCCGGCTGCGGCGGCTGCATTTCCGATGGAGGCAGAAATGTTGTAGGCCCGTGTGCTCAGATTTCGGTGCACGTTAAAGAGCACCAGGTGGTCGAAATTTCCGGAGTCCTCCACTACGGCGTCTCTCATAATCATATGGTGGTTTTGGGACGTTAAACCCCACAAATCAATCATGAGTTAAGAGTCTGCTGCGCGGATGATACCGCGACCGCGGCGAAGGCTTGGTTGTTGCGATAGGCAGCGGCGTCCACGAACGAGACGTTGTCCGCTTCCATGTCTATGCGCTTGAGAATGGCGGTCGCCCGCGCAAGGCGCCTGCCTCTGTTATATAAAATTTCCAGATTTCCAATCCACGGGTATTCAACAAGATTTCCAGATCCACGGGTATAATCTGCAAATTGCGACAACTCCTCCCTCAGTGGTTGAAAAAACAACTATATTATTCCCTTGTTCACTCACATCTCCATTATTGTCATCTTGTATGGGGGAATACGACTAAAGCAAACACTGACAAAATTCCCATCTTGCAAAAAAAAGCTATACGACTAATATCAGGGGTGTCATTCAGGCATCATACCGCGCCTCTCTTTAAGGAACATAAAATACTTACGGTAACCGACGTCATGAAACAAAAATTGGCAATGCTTATTTATAAACAGGTACGAACTGATCGCACAGGGTTTTATCAGAGGCATCTCCCGAGAGATCACAGTCACAACCTACGGCACAGGGTGTATACATATGAGAAACCACGTACAAATTACGGCACACAAAAACTATTGTATCAAATTTCGCATTTCTTGAACGAACAACCGATTGTAGCTTCTCTAATTGACAATACAGTCTCATATGGCATTTTTAAAAAGAAGATACAGGAACACTTCCTATTTACACAAACGTAATCACCGTCATCATCTTTGTCTCATATTCCCTGAAGTATTTTCTTGTATATATCACATTAAGGTTTGCTTATGTTATCCAAACTGTGTTTCATTTATCGATCAAACATATTCCTTATTGATGTTGCTGTCTCTTGATTGTTGAAACCTTGTATTCAAGTTTAAAGTTTATTCAGGTATTTTACATGTCTTACATTAGTCTTTGTTTATGTCCTCTACAGTTTGTTTCATTTGTCGGACACGCATATGCTTTATAGATTTCATCTCCTGCGCAAATTTTCGCTCATTTATGTTTTCCTGTACATGTTTTGCATGTAGAAAGATATTTATGCTTAATTTCTTATTGACTCGTTACTTTACACTGAGCACTGTGTTATTTTGGTGGGTTTTGGGTTTACTGGGGGCAGGCGCTTTGTCAGGCTTTTATGCCTTTTCGCCGGTCCCCTAGGCAAATTGCACCTTTCTTTTTTTTTTTTTGCTTTTGCCTGAAATAAACTTCAACTTCAACTTCATATTCGGAGTGTACATTTCGTGGTATGGGAGCGATCATGATAAGGTCGCGGATTTCACGGGGAATTAGAGCCAACTCTGGGGGGTACCTGGCCCTCGAGGAGAAGAAGCCGAGCTCGCGCAGAATATGGCGGCCCGCCTTGGTGGTAGTGAGTCGGGTCAATTGCACACGTTCCTGAGCTTCGGCGATCTCTTCTAGCGTGTTATGCTTTCATAAGGAACTGGCAAGGTCTCTCAATACCAGATTCCCCTTATATACCGAGGACAAAGAAGCATGCTTGGCTATGTTTTTGGACCCACGCTTCAAGTCAACGGTATTCAGAAACAACAAACAAAAGTTGGTGTGGCTGAAAGATCTGGTGCTTCAGGATGTTGCCCTATGCCCTGCTGTGGAAGTCGTGCAGCCAGCAGCAAAAGTGCAGGAGCCACAAGAGTGTGTGCAGCCATCCTCTGATGTTTGGAGTGCATTTGATAATCTTGCAAATAGTCAAGTAGCAAGTAAACCACTGTCTACTTCAGAATGGGAAATTAAAGCGTATTCTGAAGAAGCCCTACTGAAGAAAGAAGCGACCCATGTGACTGGTGGCGGACTGCGGGCACCTTCAGATACCCCAGTCTGGCAAAGCTTTGCCCCCAGTACTTGCCCATACCAGCCACTTCAGTTCCAAGCGAGCGTGCCTTTTCAGTGGCAGGGGAGGTTGTCTCTGTTCGGAGGGAGCGCCTCCTGCCTGATCATGTGGAGAAACTCCTATTCCTCCATGATAACATGTAGTCATTATGTTTCATGATAACAGCTAGTCATTACTTGCATTTCCAAATAACAGTGTATGTTGTGTTAACAAACATGCTGTTGTGTATTTCTTTAGATAACTACATCTTAAATTATTGTTACTGTAGAGGCATTTGTCCTTTGATATTCGATATTCGAATCGATATTCGAACATGAATATTCGTATTCGATTCGTATTCGAAAAATTTCATATTCGCACACCCCTAGTGGCAACCTTTTCGGGTCAGATAGTACTTAAAGTGCGTCCTTTTGTTACTAGTTTTCTTAAATAAGCTTTGAATTCAAGGCAAATTTTATTGAAGATAAATTCACCGATACTAGTTACTTTGGATGATTTCTTCGGAAACAACTACCTTTTAATTTACAATTCACGTAGCCTTCAGACCAACAAATCAAAGTCATTTTTTGATATCTAAGTGGGCACCACCAGAAAACAGCATGTTTGTGAGATCTTTGGAGGGCAAAACCTGGCTTCACGAGCTGCTGGCAAAGCATTGCGGGAACTTCCACTCCAGCAATTTTTTTTTTTTTAAACCTCCTTGGCCTCACCTTGTGCACCTCGGCTTCACCGAAGACTTCGCTCGCGCTTCTTCTTTGTGGCTGCTACCACCACAAACGTGCCGCAACTGCAGTGGGGAAGAACTATTACCCCATGAATGCGCAGTATATTGGTTACGTTTCCGAGATGCAAGGGAAATGTTGCGCCAAAACCGAAAGGGATAAAGACAAATGAATACATAAATTTCAGTGCCAGTCATGTCAAAATCTTACTGGTAAATAATCGTCTTATTTGGGCTGAAACTTTGTTTAGAAGGTTTGGTTTGTTTCCCTGCACTGACAAAGTGGTAAGGGGAGAAAGAAAATGAAGAGGGGACGAAAGAAGGACGGAAGCGGGAACACACACACTGCATCTAACGTACCAACCTCGGCATCAACTCTAGCGTTCGTCTGCAGTGACGGGATGATGGTGGTTCTTGTGACAGACTTGCGATTTATGCCAGAAATGGGCATTCCTCTTGGTAGTCTGTGATCTAGATAAGTGGACTACCGTATCAGAATAAATGTGGTGGTCTTTTTGACGTCCCATTTATTACTACTATTTATTGATTTCTTGCTTGTTCTGGTTAGAGTTACATTGTGATTAAGGCGAGTTGCGGCGTTCATAATAGAAAAAAAAATGTCACAGAACTCCACAAGTTGGAAATTTGGCCTTCAAGTTAAATCTTCAAAAGTTGGGTAGCCAATTTTATCTAAATTTACGATTACAGAATATGCAAAACAACAACAAAAGACTGAGACATCATGCTAGAGTGAGCGTGCAATCTGTCACATAAAAAAAAGTGCCTTGGAATATTATGAAACCCTAATTAAAGCGAGCAAGGAGACACTCTATAGTGTTAGCAATTCAGTGCATTCAATATGTTTGTATCTCTGCCTGGCTGTACTCTAATGACTCTGCAATTTCCACCACAGCAATAGCATGTATGCTGTGGCTCTGACTTACCTTGTAGCCTGCTTTTAGTGCAGTACATTTAGAATTTCAACACCGTATACAAACAAAGGTAAAAAGCCCTGTCCCATGTGATCATGCCATGAATCAAGTACACAACCCACGCTCAGAAATTTTCTTCAAAACCCAGGTCAGACTGAAAAATATATCATATTTACCAGTGATAACAGTGAATGCTGTTTCTGGTGTGTGTCTTTTTTGCTTGGATACTAACATCCCCAAATTGGTCACACAGGCATAAAAAGAAACAACCATAAATACAGTTACCATAAGATGCAGTCTGGAGACAAAAAAAATACACTGAGGAGAAATGTACATTGATTCTTGATAAATATAGCAAAGCCTTTGCAGTTTCGTGAAACAAGTATGAGTAATACGAAATGTACTTAGAAGGCAAGCTGGACACAGCTCTAAAGACAAAAACATAATCCCGCATAATCGCATGCATAACTGTGACCTGGCTGTCTTGTAATGTAATGATCAACAACACAAGAAACTGTTGAGGTTGAGAGAGTTATTATTTATTAATCTAAAAAGCATGAAAGTGTTATGAACACAGAGTACTTGCTTGACTCGAGTGAAAATAGACTAGGCTTTGATAAATGAAACTAGGAACATGGCTATTTACCAATAAAGAATGAATATCAGGCTAACTCAGCCTCACGAGACAAGCGGCCCCCTTTTGTCTTTTGGAGCACGGCGTAAATGTCCAATGCTTCGCCGGGTGGTATGCCATAGCCTTCTTTTAATCCTTGAGGGTTCGATGGTGTTACGCAGTCCATGTCCACCTCTTTTCGAAGCACCGTATCGACTTCAATGCTGCTGAAGAAAGCCACGCTTTGCGGAAGGTCTCGCATTCCCAATCTCCAGGCAAAGAAGGAGCGCGTAAGCAGATTGGTCACCTGCAGTGCGAGAGCAGCCCTGTACCTGTCCTCCGAGGCAACCAAGAAGCGCACCTCGTCATGAATGCTAACAGCAAAGCGTCCACGAATTGCAAAGTCCTCCATAAGCCACCTCATGGTGACCAGCATGAGGTGCAGGTAGTCTACCGCTGAGCTCTGTACGACCCAGTTAATGCGGCTGTTGAAGAAGTTTGCATTCACGGCGGCCGGCTCCAAAGCACGGCTGATGCAGCAACCCAGAACTGGAGTCTTCGGAACTTTTGAGTTGGCTATCTCTTCAAGCTTGTTGAACATGTGAGACTCACTTCCTCCAGACCACACTTTGCGGGCACCTTGTACGCGTACCTTTTGTCCACCGACGTTTTCTCCTCCGTGTACCCTCACACCCTTCGTCTGGGCGTACATCATCTTAGCCTTCGAGGCAGGCCTCCTGTGAGGTCAATCTGTGATTGAATTGCATGAAGAGGCGTTGCGCGAATGGAAGGCCCGCACCGTAGATGCGGGCATAATTGATGACTTTGGCCTGGTCTCGACTGATGCCGACAGACTGTGCGATCCGGCTGTGCATGTCTGTACCGGCTGCCTTGTTTCCCTGGAGGGTCATCCAACCGAAAGCTGTACAGCCGTGCATCCTGCGAAGTAAGCATCTGCGAATATGGCAGCAATCCAGAGTTCCTGGGAGTCTACGTCAGCACCAACAATGTGATAGCCTTTGGGAGCCTGAATCATGCACTTGAGTTCACTACCTACACGGTCTTTGTAAGCATTGCTGGCCGTCAGCCAGGTCGTCTCAACACCTCTGCGTGTGACCGTACCGGCTGGAATGATCCGCGGAAGGATGACGCCGTTGTCGGTAGGCTCATTGGCTCCAACTGTTTCCGGCAGTTCGTCCCTGTCGAACCACACCACCATCTGTCCCATAATGCGATCGCGGGCATTCTTCCAATAAGAAATCATCTTGCTCAGCGACAGTACCTGGTTGGCTTCTGGGTTGTCGCTAGACTGCAGTGTTCCGTCGGAGACCTTGGGCAAAAAGTCTTTGGCGAGTGGGTTTCCAACTCTCTTGTGAGGACCATCCTTGTGTGGGAGTCTGAAGAAGCTGCACCCCTCAATACCAATGTCGGTATCGGCATTTTCCTCCAGTCGCGGAGAATCAGTTTCCTCTCCCAGAACTTTTCGCCATAGTTCTCTAGCCCCTTCTTCTGGAATCCTCTCTAGCTTCTGCCACATTGCATCGGTGTCACTATTTTCTGTAGAGCACCTCTGGTAACCACAGGCTTTCAGAAATTCTGCAAGAGGGAACTTCGGTTTTTTAGCAGCTTCTTCCATTTCTTCTTCAGCAGCTGGAGAAATACTTACGATCCCGTCAGTTTCACCCTTTGGAACCAAGTAGCCCCAGCCATGCTTTTCATCGTAAGTGGACAGGGTAGCCGTCCCACTTCAGCCTAAGCAACTTTGGCACTGAGCGCATTTGAGTGCTTATTAGGTAAGGTCCGGGTGCCCATTCTGGATTGTCCTCAGGATTTTCAGGAGGCTTAGAACAGAAGTCACGATACCAGGCAGGGTAGCCAGGCATAAATGGCTGTACTTTATACAACAGCTTTGAAGTATCGAAGATGTGCTGAACTTGCACCAACAATTCCTTTTCAGTAGGAAACTGGGCTGCTGTGTTCTTGTGCCTCTGAAACTGGCATTCCTTGGCATGAGTCAGGGGTTACTTCCGAAGGCTTTTGAGAACTGTTAGATGAATTTGGTGAAACTGCTGTCTCGTAAACGGCTCCAGTGCCTGCTCCTGCTTCACTTGCGCGAGCTACACGCTTTTTCGAGGATGCCTTGGTTCCCTTCGTGCTCTTTGCAAGAACCTCAGAAGCAGCAGGTGCCTTTTTGATCCTGATGCTTTGAACGGTCCAGTCAAGATCCCAGAGCCAAGGGTCCTTCTTGTACGCTTCATCGTGCAACAGACGGCAGGCACTGTTGGCGATACTCGTCAGCATTTGCTTCAGCTCCTGCTGGTAGTCTTCATAGATAGAGTCTGCTTCCTTGAGGTAGCGCTCCCAGTTCTGGTTCACCGGAAGGTACGCCGTTGACATCTCCAACATGCCGGCAAAAGATACCGGGTGCGGGAAGCGCTCGAAGTACAGCGGCAGGAGCTTTCCGAGTACCAAGTGGGTGGCGACTACGTCGTTTGCACAGTAGGTCATCAGCAGCCTGGAAGTCTTCTGCGACGTCTTGCAGGGTGCCATTGACGAAGGTGTCTCTTGCCTCCTTCTTGAGTTCACGTCCTCCGGAGTAGAGCTTGTACACGTCGGCGAGGTTGTTGAGGGAGCTCAGGTCCTGCCAGAGCTCAACGGGAGGACCTCGCGCGGCTGTCTCTGATGACTTACTGGCCATAGAAAGAGCCCTCTGGAAGCTGGTCAGGCCCGAAACGCACATGTGAAGCGACAGTGTGTCCAGGAACCTCAGGCGGCTTCCGTCGATTGCGTACTGTTCCCTGATGAAGGACCGGTCGAAGCCCACGTTGTGACCGACGATTACACGCGCCTGCGACTTCTCCGGCCCTGTGGTCCTCTCCAGCGGTATCAAGTCACTCAGTCTTACGCGCTCTTTCCACCTGAAACGTTCGCCGACCAGCTGCGGGCTACACCAGGAGTACCAGCAGTCTCCCGACGCGGCAGTCGCGAGCGTCGGAAAGTGTCCCTCCCTCATGCACACTTCGACATCGAAGACTAGCGACGTTTCGTCGGGTAGTCGACTTCGACGGCCTCCTTGCCGTCGTTCGTGTACTTGGTCCATCCCGGGGCGAAGTTCCAGTGCGGCGGCTGTCGCGGAAGGGGATTCGAACTGAGTACTTCAGCGGCTAGCCTGTAGTCTTTAGAGTACCGGCGGCCGAGCTCCGCGAAGTGTTCGTCGAGGTCACAGCCCAGTAAAGGTGGGAGCTCGAAGTCGACTTCGGGTAGCGACGTCGTTGTGTGGCCCCACAGCTTTTGTTCTTTCAAGTGTTGCACGCTCTTCTGGACCGCTTCGCGGTCGAGTTTGTCGCAGACGTCGCCGAACACTTGACGGTGCAGCGCCGGCGACAGCATCTGCACTCCGATGGGGTTGATGCGGCGCGCACTTTTGCGTCTCGATGTCGCACTTCGCTTCCGAAGCTGAGGTCGAATTTTGGCGCCACTACTCCAACTACAACCGATCTGTCGCGAAGACAGGAAATACGGGCACGGATCTGGGTCAACATCGAGAGCTGTCACCACAATATTTCGCTCTCATCTTTCACTGAAGCAAACGAGCCCGGCGCGAAGTTGCACTTTTCTCCGACCACGCGTGATGTGTTTACGGAACTTCCCTCGGCTCATTTGTCTAGCACAAAACGCATGGAGTGACAAAACAAAAATGCTCAGCACAAAGTGTAATGTTTAGCAGCGCCGTCATTAAAGATAGTAATAGACAAGAAAAACAAAAAAATTGTCTGTTTATAATCTTGGAGGCTTCAATTAAGACAGCATAAACATTGCATTAGTACTGAAGCAAACACTTTTATAGCGTATAGATGACATAAACAAATGCGTATAGGTTAAAAGGTAATGCCTTCGAAACTGAAACTCTGCCATTTTTCTAAAGGCTTGCTCGAAAATTTGTGAAAGACGATATATGACAATTTCTAAAAGGCGACCATGACGTAAATTTGTCTCGTACCACCCAGAAGCATAGCCTTCAGGACTCGTAATTTTGAAAGAAGAAAACACTGTTGAGGTGAGAGGTTGAAACAAAGGGCTTAGTTTGAACATGACAGTTTCGCACGCTAGTAGTTAAGCTAATGATACAGTTACTTGATTTTCAGTAGTAGATGGACGTGTACATTTATTAGACACGTTTCCTAGCGGTGCGTTTGCAGTTGCTGCTACCAGGGGCGGTTTGGAATTGTATACTAATAATTTTTATAATTCTAGTCAAATAACTCGACAGATATCTCACTCGTTCAAGCACACTGGAATTAATAAAAGCCTCGTCGATTCACCCGCACTATGGTATTTCTCTATTAAAAAACAAAAAAAAAAAACTCACGCGCAAGTTCGTACACAGAACACCAAGAACATCCTACGCCCGCATTCGAAGCGACACCAACCGACGCGGAGGTGGCCACTCGAAAATGAATCTTTCAAAAGTAAATATGGCTGACGATGTGCGGCAGGAGTCCTCAAAATCACCCTCGGATAACGCCATTTCGGGTATGTTGGAAATAGCCTTTACCGTCGATATCCGTGTATTGTTTCTCTGTTCAAACGCCCTTAACTCTAGGATCGACGCCGAACTGGGATCCCTAGCGGTTGGTTGCTCATTGTATCGGCTCCCTAAGCCTGAATCCTTTTGATGAGATGGATGGAGGTAGCGAGAGAGAGAGAGAGTATTCGATTTGTTTATTTTTTTTCTCGCTGCTATGCGAAATGTCTGATTTGGTTGGCCCTATCGTAAGATTGATGTCTCGTACACTCGTTTGTGGTCGAAGCCGAACGACGTTTAGTTTTCGATTGCGAATTCTTTGGAGGTGTTCCGTTTTGAACGATGGTGGCCGCTTCTCCGAATTTTGACAACTTGCGTATTTCTGAAAAAAAAAATAAATAAATATTTTCCTCTGTTTCAGACGTCAATCACGATGAAGCGATACTCGCTCAGGAGAAAGAGATCGAACGCGAGGTGAGCTCCGTGCCTTTCTTGTTTCGCTGACGCTTTTAAAATTTCAACTTCCCTGTTTGGCATGTCACCTCTATGTCAAGCTGGCAGATTTGACCGGTTACGATAGCCGCAGTTTTTTTTTTTTTTTTGCGGGCTCATAGAGTCGTGTTTTTCATGAGCTGGTTCGCCGGTCTCTACATTGACGTGCGGCAGGCGTGAGCGAATGTGCTACTTGACAAGTGAAACCGACAGCGAAAACTTCCTGAACCATTGCGATGCTCCCGTTCGATGTGGGTGCCCCAAGTTTTGCGTGTTGCCTCAGCAGCGCATGCCTCACGCGCCAATTACAAGGCTACGCAAGCTTTCCTTCGAAAGCAGCGTGTGTACTCGGCTGCTGACCCGCAGGTCGCGGGTTCGATTCCCGGCTGCGGCGGCTGCATTTCCGATGGAGGCGGAAATGTTGTAGGCCCGTGTGCTCAGATTTGGGCGCACGTTAAAAAACCCCAGGTGGTCGAAATTTCCGGAGCCCTCCACTACGGCGTCTCTCATAATCATATAGTGGTTTTGGGACGTTAAACCCCACAAATCAATCAATCAAAGCAGCGTGTGTACCCAAAGCCTGCGTGCACAATTGTAAAACCCTGTCGACATCAGAGCAGAAGCCCGTCGCAGTGACGTTAATTTCTTTGTCGACTTAGTGGTAGGGGCCTTATTAGTGGTATTTCAAAATGAACAGAGTAGTCTCAACAAAATAGCTAATTAAGTTAGTTGAAGAAGCCTTGTGTCTCTGCATTCAGCAGCATTGCGATCCCGATTCCTTTTTTGTAATGTTAAAAGCCAGTTTGCTGGCCTGTTCGTAAGCAAGGTTTTTTTTACGTTCATCCTTGTGAGGGCATGTCTAGCCTTCACATATTGTCATGGACGCGCAACGTGGCTTTTAACATGGTGGCTTAGGTGATAGCAAGGTAGTCAAAACACACTCTGATTAACCTGCTTAAGGGTGATAACGACATCGCTGGAACGTTAGTGGGTGTCAGTGAAGGGAATAACAAAAGAATCCGCATGCAATGAACTGATAACAATATCGTGACATCGCCAAGTTGTCCCACCACGTCGGTGCTCCAATGAGGCTGTTTCAGTGTTGTCAGCGCTTGTCATCTGTATTCAGCTCGTTACCCAGGTGGTCGAAATTTCCGGAGCCCTCCATTACGCCGTCTCTCATAATCATATGGTGGTTTTGGGACGTTAAACCCCACATATCAATCAATGTATTCAGCTCGTTGCTGTTAAAATATGATAGGTGGTATTCTCGAGGCTTATTTACCCAATTTTTCTACACTGCCTCGTTCTAAAATTGTCATTAGTAGGTCATCAAAACATGCACATGCGCCATGGGACACGTTTGCTGCGGCAAGCTTTTTTGAGGTCCTGTTTCATGTGTGGAGTGACCGACTGGTGGTCCACTCTGCATGTCTTGCCGCTGCGCCTCGACCCACCCATGGTTCATGGCAGGTAGCATAAAAGAAAATCTCTCCTGGTTTTATATAACCTCTTGCAACAAGAATCGTACCTCTGTGCTCACGTTTGGTGAAATTATCGCATCAGCGAACAGATGCATGGTTGTAACATCGCGGCCACTTAGGAAGAGCACCCCCAGTGGCAGACGCCGCTGTGAATGTGTTAAAAAAATATTTTAAAAAATGCATTCACCAGACTTGCTCAAATTTATATTGGCAGTAAGAGACAAGCCATCACTTAACTGCTTGCTTTCTAGATTGCCGAACGCATACCATTGGTAGACACAAAGCAAGACCTGGAGATCCTTGAGAAGGAGTATGCCCTAGACGACGTAGTCTACCAGCAGAAAGTCAAGGTAAGGCTTTTTTTGTTTCATGGTCGTCACCACCGTCAGCAGACTGCGCTCACTGCTGGGCAGAGGCCTCTCCCATGTTTCTTCAATCAGCCCGGTCCTGTGCCTGCTCCGACCAGGTTATACCGTCACACTTCTCAAGTTCATCTGCCCTTGTCCTTCCACGTTTGCCTTTCCCTAGGATCCATTTTGTTACTCTTAACGAGGCATTGTGATGCATTTTTGCCTGCATTCTGTAACGCTGGAGTTCATGCAGGGCCATATACTGAGGTGAACTCAAAAAGAATGATTGAAATGCATGCAGAATAACGAAAGTTAGCCTTGAAACTTGAAATGCATGCAGAATAACGAAAGTTAGCCTTGAAACTTCAGAACCCCATTGTACCGTACGGTGAGGTGGGACAAAGGGAATGAGCACAGGACATTCGTTACTTATTTATTTATTTATTTTGAATACCTCAAAGGCCCCAGCTGGGGTGTTACATGAGGGATGGGTATTATTTACAGAATAAAAAAAGTGATTCGAGGGCAATCTTCAATTGATGCGGGTCAGAGTGGTGCATGGTAGTTGTAGGCAGAGGATTCCAGTCCCGTGCAGTTGTCACAAAAAAGGAGCGAAGATGTGCAGTGCTTTGGGCTGGTGGAGGATACACTGCGCTTGAATGGTTCGTGCGGCTTGATGAGCGATGGACTGGCAGGATGGCTGGAACTTCGACGGGGGCATGATAAAATTTGTGAAAAAGGCATAGTCGAGATATGTGACGTAATTCTAGATTATAAAGGTGAGCACGAGTTTTAAGTTTGGAAACACTGGAATGGTAGGTATATTCAGAGTAGATAAAACGTGCAGCACGGTTTTCTCCTTTGTTTTTCCACTTGTTCCCTTTGTTCTCTTTGTCCCTGTAAAAAGCGCTACTTCACCACACTGATCAGTCGGCAACTGGCCCAGCTCTCAACATCATTGAGCTTTAAAATCCCAGCCGACAACGAGATAAACCGTTCCCTTTTGCATTTCGCCCTCCCACTGACCTCAAAAGCAGTTTCCAATCATCGCACCCCTCTTAAAGAGACGAGCCGGACTACTTGCGTCGTGGTAACCGTTGTACAGTGCTCCTTGTGTCGTTCTGTAATTGATTTCGTTCTGTGTCGTTCTATATTTAAAAACAAAAATCCTTTTGTATCCAAGGGATTATGAAAAGCGCTTTTATAAATTTTAGCGAATAATAGTGTGGCCCATCTGGGAACATGAAAGTATTACGCATGACCTGTCGCGTTAGACCAATCAAATGCATGGCTATTTTTTTGATCGGAAGCGACGTGTGTCACGCTAATCTGAAACCATGTGGCTTCCTCGTAGAAATAGAATTATAACAGCTTCGATTTTGGTGTTGCCACGTGCACAAAAATATCGGCACATTCCTCAGTTTGAGAAAAGCAATGAAAGCGACATGCTCAATTTGTGTCATAAAGCCCCTTTAATGTCAAACGGTTATCTTACTTTCGCACTACATTCCCTGTCCATGCCCATTCCAAGTACTAAGATTTTGTTAGCACCATTTGTTTCCTCATCCACTTTGCTCTCTTTTTGTTCCTTTAGCTTGTGCTTATCAGTTTCTTTTCCAATGCTCCCTGCGTTGTCCTGAGTTCAAGTCGAAGCCTCCTTACCAAGCTTGTTCGATAGTATGAATTTTACAAAACCGAATGTTGGCATTGACAAGCATCACTAAACTCGGTGTTCTTTATCAAATTCCAATGGTGGATCTGGAACTAGGAGTATGCATTCAACACTGGCTTAAAGCAATGGCACCTGTTCGATGATTGGAATGCAATGCCCATAGCCAGAGCTAAATGGAAGTTCTGTCCTCCGTAAGCAAGTTTGCCAGGATAAGTTATTTGCAGTAATTCGCTTCTACTGTGTACTCCTAGCACCTGTCTGTTGTGTCTGCTTGTTGCCTTTCACCAGCTTGATAAAGCACATTCTGAAGCCACAGGGAACACATATTGTTATTGTGCCAACTTGAATATCTCGATAAGTACAGTCTAGCATTGCCACAAAACCTCACGACTTTTGGGACGCCCTCAAGTAAGGATTAGTGTAAAAGGAAACGCGTCACGCAGAGTTCTAATCCACAACTTTCGTAAGCGCGAGAGGCAAGTACATAAGTCAAGAGGATCAGTGCCAATTAAGCCAAACCCAGCGCCTTCTAATCCACTACAGCTATTCTTGTGGAACAAGTATTCCTGCTCCTCAAAGTGACCTTTACTCTAAATATACTCTGACTCGCTGCTTACAATTCTTGAATCCGGCCCTCGTTTCGTCTTTAGAACGAGCCTGCTTCTGAAGGAGCGGAAAAAATTGCTCCAATATAGCCATTGTAATTCCACGGTGGAATACGCTGCAAGCGATCTCTGTCTTGACTCTCTGAAGTAATTGGTAGTGTGATCTTTTGTGCTAAAATAGTAACTGTGCTTTGACCAAACTGAGTTGTTTTCTGTAGTGCAACTTTTCAAGCCACGGAATTATGCCAACCGAAAAAAAGGTGTCTGGGCAAAGGTGCTTTTCTAAAGCAGCTATTTTAGGATTTATGCAAGGAATCTCATTAAAGTGAAGAGCCTTCTTCATACGAAAAGAGGTTTCAAACCAAAGTTTTTCTGTCCTACGTTATGTTAAGTGGGGCCTTAGCATTTTTTAAATGCCATTATGCGTTCAGCTACTGCCTTGCATCTGCTCAGCCTTCTGGCCTGCCAAACCCTGTGACAACCTAAGAATTCAGTTTAAATGTTACCCTCGACATAGCACCGTATATGTTTGTTTGTATGAATATCAACATGCCCGGTATATCATCCTTCCTGAATGGGTCTTTGTCTAAAAATGTTGGAGCTTCATGTTGAGTAACTTATGAGCTGTAAGCATACTAAGCTTTTGTTCAAGAGTGTCTAGAGCATCTGTTTTTGTTTTATTGTGTACAGGCTGTTGTGGATCCCAGCGCTGTTCTCCAGTAGTCTCTCCAAATCCCAGCGCTGTGCTATAGTGGTCGCTTCGGATCCCAGCGCTGAGCCCCCGTTGTTGCGGACCGGGGTCTACCCGGTCTCTTGTGGTAGCGTGGTGTAACTTCGGGTTGAGGAAACGAACGCTGACTAGATGGGGATACGAAAAACAAACAGGCTTATGGCACTATTTACAATTATTTACAGCATGAGGTTAGGAGTTCACAAACGACGAGCGTGGTGGTTGAACAGTTACATGGTTCAGACCGACGTCCAGCACTCTGCGGCGTCGTTTTAAGCCCTGTCGGGCTCCTCCTCCTTGAGTGGGACACCAATCACACACACACAACAGAAGAGGGGTCATGATCACTGCTCTGCAAGGTGGCATCAGCGGGGCTCTTCCTCGTCGTGTGTGTGCCGCTAGTCGAGGGGTCCCAAGCTCCTGACAGCATACATCAAAGGGTTCGCCGATCTGTTCGCTCAATTAGCCGGGCGATTTGCGGCGGCTGCGGTCTCTTCCGAGGAAGTTGCTGTATTTGCTGTCCTCTCTCGAACGGCTTACGGCGTCGTGGCGACACGACATCTGACCCTCCGGTTCGCAGGGACAATACCTGGCGGGCACAGGTAGCCGGCCGGTCGGCTACTTGTTTGACGAATGAAAGAGCACCGCTCCCTCGTCAGCTCTGGCGCCGGTCATAACAGCTTCCCCCTCGCCAGATGAGTCACGGAGGGCAGCAGTCACCGCTGCTGCTCGAAGGGACGACAAAAGGGTCCGTGGTGTAATGCCAGGAACTTGTCTTTGCTTGTCCCATGGTCTGTGTAATTGCCAAAAACTTCAACAGCATCTCTGAAATTCGACCACATGCACAAGCAAGCACTCAGCCCCCTTCGAACAAACCAAGCCGAAAGAGGGATGGCAAACCAATTTTTTATTATTAGCTTTAACAAAAAGCTCACATTCAAAACTGTCAAAACTCACTTGCGCTGAGAAACCAGACGTGCTTTCTTCCACATTTCACATAATAAGATGCACGAAAAAATTAAAATATCAATTTTGATACATCAAGAGCACCCCTAAATAGATTAGAAAGAGCGATGGAGCGTGTCAGCGTTTCCTTTCAATTTGCCCTTTACCAAATGCCAAAATGATATTTTCGAAGAATAAAGCCCCGCCTCACAAGGCTACTGTTCTTTGATGTCACGGTTTGCAGCCACGTAAGGGGACAACAGTCTGTCTCTTATTTAAATGTAGCACCTCCGAGATAACTCTGCAACTGATGAATGGCCTACACAAGGCAAGCGCACTCCTTTCCTGAAGCGCAGTACGTTATCTCACGAGAGCCCAATTTCTGGCTCAAGTAAAGCACAGCTTTGCTTGTTACCACGGTCGTCCTGACATAGAACGGCATCTAGGCCTCGATCTCTCGCATAACGCTGAACCGTTGATTCTTGGTAGTAAACAGAAGCTCTCAAAACCGGATGACAATCAGTATTGCCTCTTCACCTAAGAAGGCTGCCTCCTCTTTTTAATCACTGACCACTTTCATCGGTTCTGTCCTGCGGAGAGCATCGGTCAAGTATGCGAACGCTGAATAAACTTGAATTTAGCGAGCACTACAATTGTCCTAACGTCCGTCTTTGTCTATGGCCGCCAACAACCGTCTACTACTTAAGACATTAGGCTCACCAGCTTACCAAAACCTTAGCCTACACTGTGACCTAATGGTCTACCTCAAAGATTAGGAAAAGCTCAATGATCTGCTCATATGATCAATCGATCAATCATTCTTCAAAAGTAAAACAACAAAAAGCACACATAATCTGCCTTATAACAGGTTCAATAGGTTAAAGTTACCTGCCTATGCTAACGCTTTTGATTAAAAAAACAACTGAGCTCTCTTGAGCGTTTTCTAATTATCTCATTCGTACAGCACTGCAAAATACACGGCACTATTAACCAAATGCATAATACCTCACAGTTTTTCTAACATTCTTTCGTTACGCTGTAACACTCTGTGTACAACACAAAAATAATCCTAGGTGCTATACTCATCAAAAGCACCTCACAATACTTGCACTGTTTTTTTTTTTCCTAAAACCGTGTACTAGATGTCTCTCAATTCTCACAGCGCGTAACAACAACTCTACCATTTCGCGCCAAGCTTAATCAATTTACCGAATCAATTGGTTTATGCTAAGATCTTCCCTCAAATGCTCATTCACGCCACATTCACATGACAGTGAACGCATACGACATTACAATCAACCTTTGAAAATAAAAAGTAACACAATTTACCAGTTTTCGCCTTCTGCTCATAATTGCCCTATTGATTAAAGCACTTTTACAAACCTTCAGCCTTTAGCTCAGCGGTTTTCCTTTTAGAAAAAAATGTAATACCGCATCACGTAACTTACAAAATTAAACTGGCTGAAATCTGCATCTCCAATGCAATACTGAGTAGCCATATTTAACACGCACATGAAACAATTGTTAAAACTGACTGCCCCCTTTTCTCAGCTAGATTCGTTTGAATCGCACTCAATGGGGTCGTGGTCCTGGCAGTTTTCGAGCACGTCAGAGGCTGCAAAATGCATGAACGCTAGGCTGTGTCCTGCTGTCACGCCTCATTCTGCACTTCGACCGGCTTTCCTCAAGAATGTGAAAGGGACACCAGAAGGGGGGGTGAAACAGGGGACATTGTCTCTTGGTGCTCGCCCAGACGCGGTTTTATCCATTGTGCTTTTTCGATGTTCACCCTTCGGACGAGATCACTTTCTCGAAGTTGTCGAAATGATCCGCTCGTTTCATTGGGGTGACGCACCTCGTTTTCCCCCTCTACACCTGGCTCGCCGCTTGTGCCTCCATGAACGCCACCATGGACGTTTCCTGAAACGGATGAAAGGCCAGCCCTTTCGTAGTTCTTGCGACTGAGTGGGACCTGTCCTAGGCTTACGCAGTGACGTACGCTTCCGCTTCTTTTTCTGCGATGTTTGCAAACCACCTCGATGGTATGGCTGCACTGCTGAAGCAAGGCGTTCTTGCTCTCATTGGCCACTGTGCTAACTATGCCTACATTTGACGATGTTGAAGCGTCCTTTCGAGGCATGAGGATGGTTTCCAGCTCCTTACTGAGCCCATTAGGGCTGCTGGCACCCGCCTCATCCTCGCAAGTGCCGTCTTTTGAAACGGTCTCTACCTCCAGACCGGCTAAGGCCTCGCTCTCTACATGCTCTCTGATTTCAGGAATGGCGGTATCATCCTCTAACTGCTCAGTAGCCAAGCTACCCCTGTTCCCATTCAGAAGTAAAGTGAACCTGTCTGATGCTGGCGGAAGTAACGCATACTCGCGAGATTCCTTCTCTGAGTGGTGGATCTCGAGTGTCTTGCTATCACGGTTGTCTGAACTGCTTTCCTTCGTTTTCACCGCTTATGTATCATGCATTTCCTCTATAGCATTTTTCTTAGACGTTTACTGAGTTGCCAATTTTCGTGTCTTTGAACGGATTAACGCTTGTACTACCCTGTCACCGAAAAGAATGCTCTTCTCTCGCAATAACATATCTGACTTGTTTTAGAACAAGTACGGATAAGATTCAGAGAGTTTTCCCGAAACTGCAGCCTCGGTTGTTTATTTACCGAAAGGGCCCTCGATTACCACAGCTGTAACGGGCAAGCATACTCTCTGCTCTTCCACCACCTGGTAGATCCACAAGCATTGTCCTGTGTAGTCAGATGGCGACACATACGATGGGTGGACAACATCTATTGTTGCCGCCGAGTCGGGCAGCACTTTACATGGCTTTCCATTGACAACCAGGTCACGCATGTAAGGCTCCAATAACCTCATGTTGTCTTCGCAGTCACTGATATATGAAAACGCCATCTTTTCTTTTTGGCAGTTCGCTGCTATGTGACCGGTCTCATTGCATCTGAAGCGCGTGAACGGATTCTTAACTTTAAAAGCATTCTTCGCCTGTCCCGCGTTTTGCCCCTCCTCACTTGGTTCACTGTCCTCCTTCTTTTGAAATTTGCCAGAAGGGACCTTTGTTTTCCTCTTCTCATTTCGAAAACTTGAAAAATGTTTTTTATTCGAGTTTAGTTTAGAATTATAGATTCTATGGGCTCCCCGGTTACTGCTATAATATCTGCGCGATGCGTACTCTTCGACAAGTTAGCCGCTTCTGTCGCAGAACTTATGTCACGCTGGTCCAGTAACCAGTTTTTTTTCTGCTCTGGGAGACAGTTCAAAAACTGTTCTAATAGAATCCTCTCCACTACAGCGTTCCTGTCACTGTATGACTCGGTGCTTTTTAGCCATTCTGTCAAATTCGCTCTCATTTTGTACAGAAGGTCAGGATAGCTCTCGCTCTTAGACTTTTTAGTGCCCCGAAATCTTTGTCTAAAAGCCTCTGCACAAAGTCTATACTTTCTTAGAAGGCAAGCTTTGACCTTCTCAAAGTTGTCTTCGTCCTCCTTGCTGAGTCGTGCAACAACCTCCGCTGCCTCGCAGGGCAGAACCGTGAGTAGCCTTTGGGACCAGGTGTCTTGCTCAAACGTCATTTTCTCGCACATCCGTTTGAAATTTGCCAGGTACATACCAATATTCTGCTATACCACGTATGGCTGGATGTACCTAGACATCTTGAACTCTGCCTCTCTGTTGGGAAGAGCTATCACTTCCTGGGGACTGCTACCCGACCTCTTTCCCAACTCGAGTTCTAGATTACGCATCTCAATTTCATGCGCCTGTCTTTTTGCCTCACGCTCACGTTCCATGCAACGTGCCTCTCTTTCAGATTCCTGTCTTTTTTCTTTTACGCTCGCGTTCTAAGAGACATTCCTCTTTTTCGCGTTCACTTCTCTGTTCCTCCTCTTTCTTTCTTTGCTTGATGAGATCCAATGCTTCACAGAGCTCCTCATCATGAGCCCCCAAATCAATAATTGCCTGTGTGATTATGGGCCGTCGTACCAAACCCTTCATGTCGATCCCCCTTCATGGCGCAGCGCGATGCCTTCGAGTACCGGAGCCAGATGCTGGCCGCCAAATTCCTCACACAACAGCAACAAGTCCAGCTTCTTCAGCTCCCGTAAGTCCATGATCGTACTGAGTGCTCGCTACTTTCTAAAAAAAAAAAACTTCCCGAAACGGCGAAACTGTCTTTCGGCAAAGTTAACCACCAGTTCTAAAATTTACCCTCTTTTAGAACCTGGTTCACTCAAAGGAAAAGCCAAGCACTCACCCATATGTGATCCATGTCTCGAAACAGCTGCTTCCCTTGGGCCGACTGTTGTTGTCCCTTGTAGCTTTGTATCCGACCGCTGACACCAGTTGTTGTAGATCCCAGCGCTGTTCTCCAGTAGTCGCTCCGAATCCCAGCGCTGATCACCAGTTGTTGCGGACCGGGGTCTACCAGGTCTCTTGTGGTAGCGTGGTGTAACTTCCGGTTGAGGAAACAAACGCCTACAAGATGGGGATACGAAAAAGAAACAGGTTTATGACACCATTCACAATTATTTACAGCATGAGATTAGGAGTTCACAAACCACGAGCGTGGTGGTTGAACGTCTACATGGTTCAGAGCGACGTCGAGCACTCTGCGGCGTCGTTTTAAGCCCTGTCGGGCTCCTCCTCCTTGAGTGGAAGGAACACCAATCACACACACACAACAGACGAGGGGTACGAGCATGCACGGCCCACGTGAACGTCCAATATTGAGTCATTATCACTGCACTGCAAGGTGGCGCCAGCGGGGCTCTTCCTCGTCGTGTGTGTGCCGCTGGTCGAGGGGTCCCAAGCTCCTGACAGCATACATCAAAGGGCCCGTCGATCTGTTCGCTCAATTAGCGGGGCGATTTGCGGCGGCTGCCGCGGTCTCTTCCGAGGAAGTTGCTGTATTTGCTGTCCTCTTTTGAATGGCTGACGGCGTCGTGGCGCCACGTTGTCTCACCCTCCGGCTAGCAGGGACAATACCTGGCGGGTATAAGCAGCCGGCCGGTTGGCTACGTGTTTGAGGATTAAAAGAGCGCTGCTCCCCCGTCAGCTCTGGCACCGGTCATAACAAGGCATCATTCAGGATTGTGATATGCTGGTCTACTTTTTAGCTCTATTGGGAAAAGACCTTGCCCACAAGAAAGCCACATGAAATGCTTGGCATTTCGAAAACTATATGCTGCATGAGAAAAATTACTGCATATTTGAAATCTGTGCACATATATGCATAAGGTCGTCAAGTTTCATTGAAATCAATCTGGAAGTTTTGAAATGTTTCAAAGCGCAGCATCTCTTTATAATCATGTGAGGTTCTGTGATCAAACGAAGCACTCACGAGGAATTCAAGCCATGTTTCGTAATTGCGTAGCTGACAACAGTCTAGGGTAAAGGGACGCTAAAGAGCAAGACAATTTCTCGCCTATTAGAGAAATACAATTAAACAATCTCAAAAACACTTTTCTTACCAAACCCTCTGATGTCATTAATTTTGAAGGAGTCTCCCAGGCCCTACATAGCTTCTAATCAATAGAAATGAGGTACATTGTCATCTTTGTGCGCCATAGACCTTGCATACAAAGTGTCAGACAATCTCATCAAGTCAATGTCACAAAAATGTGAAAAGTACATTTGAAATTACATTCGCCACTTAAGAGATTTCAGCTCGAAATTTAAAAATGAGATTTGAACCTTGATATTCTTCTCTAAAAATGAACTCGTGACAGTGAAACTTACGGCCCCAGAGTTCTCAAAGTGCAGTTTATCTATCTAACTGAAGTCATTGTGCCTCTTTGGTGTCCGTTTAAGGTGGGAAAATGTAAGTAATGTAGGAGAAAAAGTGTTCGTATGCTATATTTTTGAAAAGTTTCGCTCTCTGGTCAACTTCGCAGGACCTGCGCAGGAAGTACAGCCACATCCGCAAGACGCGGCCAGACGGCAACTGCTTCTTCCGCGCATTCAGCTTTGCGTACCTCGAAAGCCTGTTGAACGACAAGGAGGAGTACACAAGGCACGTGCTTACGCTGTGCTTTCCTCTTGATGCAGGAAATGGTTGTGCAAGGATAAAATGAATTTATTTAGTAGTGTAGCTCAAACTTCATATTCGTGAATTCGCTAAGATATGCAAGAGAAACGAGCTACGAAACAAAGGGGCTTGTGCGATGTGATGCATTGTTGAAATAATACGATTCTAGAATTCTAGAACCCGTCGCCCAAAAGTGCATGACTAGAAAATATCAAAATGCCAAAAACAAGATGTGCAGACAGGAATCTAAAGGGAGTAATTCAGGGCTAAGTAAAGTGCTTACATTCTACTGCTTTTGGCTTGGGTCATGTCTGCGTAATTTTGACATGTTTTGTTGAAAGCAAGCCAGTTTTGTTGCAGCACGATGCGTGGATCTCGAGCAGTTGTGCATACAGTCGAGCCAGGTTGTAGCAAAGTAGGGATGGGGTGAGAAGCTTGCTCTCGCCATAAATTAGTTCTTTATATGCTATACTCATTGTAACTATTGCATTTACTCGCTTAATGAAACCAACTTTTTTTTTCTGAAAAGTTGAATTTTGATCAACGTCCGCGCTTGCGCTGCTCGCAACTATTAGCATGGTTGTCAAACTGTTTTGACTTCTATTGCGTCGTTATTTTATGATATAATGGCGTGATATAATGTTGTTTCGATCACAAACAGCACTGGCTATCGCACTGAAATAAAACACACAGATACATTAAAAAACAATTTTTTTTTTTTTTCAAAGGACCAAAGTGTGGCGTGGGTTCGTTATGCGGGTGGGCGCATTGCACGATTAAATACGGTATAGAAAAGGCAGTTCTAACACTGCAGTTTCTTGAAGTTTCTAACAACCCATTTTCTTGAAGCGCTTGTCGACAATGCTTGGTGAGACCAGGTCCCACAACATCTCGGTACCGGAGGACTCAGGGTCTTGCGCATGATTGAAAAAGGTTTTCTTCAACGGCAAGAAACTTGTATTAGCAAGCACACACTCTTCTGCTTTTTTCCATACCGAAGGACACACGTCGAACTTCACGCTGAAACGCTTGGTGGCGGCACTGTTACCATTTTCTTTTGCAAACTTTGTACCAGGGAGCTTGCATTTTGCTGTATACATAATCATTATAGCCCACTGTTGGGGAACAGTATGAATGTGATGTATGGATGGTGAAACCTAACCTTCCAAGATCAACCAAGTGCGCGTTGAAGCGCGGACGCAGAGAACAAGGGGAACAGTTGGTATGACAGGCCCCTCAAAGCCTCCCATGCAGAAAATTGTCCGCGCCATGTCACGAGTGTGCATTCTCGTGGTGAAGGAGATGGGGAGACAAGGGAAGGCAATAGCTTGAACAGCTCTGACGACCCATCAATGGGTTCGGGTATGGTATTCTAGGGACTGAAGTTTGGGTGAAGTTCACAGAAAAAGGGACTTAGCACTCGCAGCCTGTTTTATATATGCTCAGTTAGAGGCGCACTCATTTAGAGCATTCCAAGATCCAAAGTCTCTTCGTGCGCATTCCAGCGAGCTGAGTTGGGCGGGTTGAGGAGCACAAAGTATGGCGGGTAAATACGTTTTTTTTTAGTAAGCCTGGCTAAATATTAGGAGTGTGCAAATTATGCGAGTAACTATGGTATATTTGTGTTGGTATCATTCAGAACTGCATATTGTTCAATAGTATTTTGAGCGTGGTATTTCCCAATACTACATGAGTCTGCTTTCAGGGCCTCATTGTAGTCTGCACACATAGAATGCATATCTGTTCTTTTCTTGCATCGGTAACTTTAATTGGCACGCACACACGCGAAATCTAGAGCGCGTGAGATTGGCTTGGGCAGAAGAAGCGCCGTGATTGAGGAGAATGAGAATATCTTGTGAATGTTGGTGATAACAAGCCAACAGCAGCACGAATAAAGACGGAAATTGACTTTCTCCGCCCTTGTGAGAAAGTGCCGGTAACGTAAATATCAAGTCTTGTATGCCTTCGTTGCAATTGCGCGGCGAAATCAAAACCACAAAAAGGTATTGCCCATTGGCGTCGCCGCTGGCCAGGCGATGTGCCGACGCCAGGAGGAATTCCCACTGGCAGGTGGTCAGTGGGAATGCACCGTCATTGTGGTGCGAAATTTTCAAGCGGTGCTTTAAAAACGTATTTGAACGGCTAATACACTGTAGGATGGAACTCGGCCGTCGTGCATTACTCCAAGGTTTAGAAAAACCCTAAGAAAGTTCTTTGAAGTTTTTTCGTGAATTAGGCTAGAACATAGTGAAATCATTTGCATCACAAATTTAAGCGAGGCGTCGAGTACCAAGGCCACTATGAACAAATATATTTATTCTTTCTTCATGACCACACCCATACCTCAACTCGTGAGACACCCTGGCAGCACTGCTATCGCAGCGCTCTCACATGTGCAGTCAATGGTTTGAGCTGTGTTTAGTAATGGCCTCCAAGAAAGCTGAGGCTTGTGAAGTGGTTGATATCTGCTCTGGCAGGTGCTGCCACTCTACCAGCCTATCATTTTATTCTCCTGTACGGAAACAACCTGCAATTGCATGCCGAGAAACTAAGCGTATTTAAAAACGATCACTGATAAACTTAAACTCTGGCAATGTAGTCTTGTCTTCGGGGGTGGAGTTGCATCCGCAGACATGTGGGTTATGGCGTTCGCTGTGTGGCAAAAGTGTGACACGCATTGCAGTGACTCGCTGAAGCTATTCCACTCGCCAGATGTTTTACAAACGTTACATGATGCCCCAACTTTACAAGTCACCAATTCCTTGATGTGTGGGACTCAACTCAGCTAGGGTAATTCATTGTGTCCGAGGTGGTCGAAATTTCCGGGGTCCTTTACTACAGTGTCTCTCATAACCTTAAGGCGGTTTTTAGATCTAGTATAGTGGGTTGACTGAGAATCCCTGCTTGGTTTGCTGCTCAGCATCCTTGGAAAATTCCGGACAGGCGATTTAATGTCCTTGAAAAGGTATTGTCCTTCAAAACCTGCGTGCACTCTGTAGATCCACTTCAGTGTGTTGGCTGAAAAAAAGGGGGGGGGGATGTGGGAAAGATGCACGCAAAAGCAAGAAGCCTGAGCATCGGAATTTGTTACCTTCTGTCTACTGTGTTCTTTGTAATCGCGTGGCAGTTTTGGCATGTGAAAACTTCGGGATACGATTGTAAATGTTCTCGTTCTTGCCTGACTTGCAGGTTCAAGAAGGTTGCCGAAAACAGCAGGGAGGACTTAGTCTCACTTGGCTTCCAGCGCTTCACCATCGAGGACTTCCATGACACCGTAAGTCACAAGTTGCGCGTGGTCTTGCGTAATGGCTCGGCGACTGCAGAGGTTTTGTTCGCCTAGGTGTCTCGGGAACACGCCTGGGGTGATCTGCTGCCTAGAGAGAGGTTGCGCGTTGGGATTCCCAACTTTGGACAGCTGCATTCAGAGAAGTGAGCTAATACTCTGGCACCTGAGTATTTGAAGATTGGAGTACTATTCGAATTGAGTTTGTCAGAAATTTCGAAGTACTCCTTACCTTCTGGCAATGCAGTAGCGTACGTCTCGTCGCAGGTGAGGTACAACTTCTCGTGTGGCAGGGAAAGGTAAAATGGAATTCAAGCTGTCATTGCTCATGAGTATTTCACAGTGTAAATAAGTTTGTTGTGTTTTGTGCAAACTCTATTGATTCCACATGCTCTTCGTGCAGTCCTGTCCGGAGTAGAATGAGGAAAGGCACAGGCATATTTTTTTGCTGATTACGTGCTTTCGCTTTTCTTTTTGCCCCGTTTGCAGTTCATGGATGTTCTGAGAAGGATCGAGAACAAAATTAGCCTGGAGGACCTACTGAAGATCTTCAACGACCAGGGCTACTCGGACTACATAGTAGTGTACATGAGGTATGCTGGCAAAGTCGAGCTGTTTTCTTTATTTTTTTATTTATTTATTAAGGTGAATGCTCTAAAATGATACTGACACTAAACATTTTGGTTTGTCAATTTCTAGCTTATGTTTCCCCAGCCTATAAGTCCTAGATGTTATGGCACAGTGCTTGCTGCAGTGCCCGAGAGATTCTTCATAAAGTCTGTTTGTTATTGACGACCCCCAGTTTAGGTTTGAAAGAGCTCGAACTATGGCAAGCAGTCGGGTGCAACTAATGCCATCCAGCGTGTGAAACAGCGCTCAGAACTGTGGTGCACTTTCACGCTGTCTGCATTGTCCGCTGGCATTCTTTCGCCAGCTATACGTGCTGTGCAGTCGTCGCCAATCGGTGACCACGTCTTTTTGAGGCTTCCACACTTTCCACGTGATTGCCGTGGGCATGAACTCACGAGCAGCCACTGCTGGCGCAAGCGCAGCAAAAGTGAAATGGTGATCATGACACCATCATACTATCAGTGCCAGCTCTGAGCTCGGTCCCAGTGATAACATATCTGAAGTTGAAGGTCGCAGTCTGGTCACCTCGGAGGATGTCATTGTTGCAAGCTGAGGCATCGTGCTAGGTTTCGTAGGCGAACTTCAAAAGAAAGGTTAATGTGGATTATCTTCCAGGTTATGTGTGTGCGCTGTTGACGTTTGGTGAATAACATAGGCATGTTCTCAGCAATTGGTACTGCGGGTTATCTCGACCATGAAATTGTCTGTCGGTGCCCTTTGTAATTTTCTATCAGACGGGGACCTAGAAGATGTGGTGTGCAATACGGACAGTGCAGCTGCTCTCACTCCGCGAAATAGAAGAGCATAGCTTGGCTAACTTTGTGACATCGTGATGTCACGAACGACTGAAATTTCTGATGTCATCGCTTTATATTGTTCCTTGGTCAGAGGTGGGCTAATTAATTGATTGATTGATATGTGGGGTTTAACGTCCCAAAAACACCATATTATTGTGAGGGATGCCGCAATGGAGGGCTCCGGAAATTTCTACCCCCTGGTGTTTGACCACTGTCCACCCAAATCTGAGCACGTGGGTGTGCAGCATTTTCACCTTCATGGAAAATGCAACCGCCGCAGCTGGGATTCGATCCCGCGACCTGCGGGTCAGCAGCTCAGTACCTTAGGCCACTATGCCATCGCAGGGGGGGCATGTGGGCTTATTCAGAATTATTCAGTGCAACACCACAAGAGGTGCAGAGAGCTTCAAAGGGGATGTGGGAGCACCAGTGCAGAAGATTGGAGATAAGGGTTCAGTGAACAATAAGCAAGATGTTCATGGAAGGATTGAGGGAAGGGGCAAGGAAGGGAAAAAGACTCACTTTGTAACTCCTGGGAAGGACTTCGACGATTTCGTAAGGCTGCCCGTCAGGGCCTATGGCAGGCGGGACGCTATATTCTCATATGAAATTCGGAGAGACATGCACAAAAAACAGCAAACATTTCTTGGGAAGCATTTCAAGCGTTCAGTAGTTCAGGGCTTAGTAGTTCTGTTTGTGCGAGTCAGTTCAAGATTGCAGCGGTGACAGAGTTAAAGGGATACTGAACAAAAGCTGGAAAAACTGACGAAACTTCGACATTCGACTCAAAAGATGCCATTGTTTCTATAAACGAAGTTAATTTCCTGTATTTTTGAACAGTTGGATTGTCAGATTTTTGATGGATTGTCAGCACGCGGCGGCTGCTTGACAGCGCGAGCCATGACGTCACAATCACCGAGCAGGATGCATGTGTTCTTGTAAGCCACCCATTGCACTGAAGGAAACTCATGCCACAAATATGGTTGTCAGGCTCTTTAGGATTTCTGTGCCTTTTCACTCTTGTATCTTACAAGCAGCAGCATGTCAATGACTGTTGCATCTTTGTTGTATGCAGGTTGCTAACGTCCGGGCAGCTCCAGAAGGAAGCGTCGTTCTTTGCGAGCTTCATCGATGGAGAACGGACGGTCAAGGAGTTTTGCAAGCAGGCACGTTTTTTCACTTTTCGCTTGCTCCAGCCCAGTGCAGAAAAATTGCGGGCCTCCAACTACGACATGTCCCAATCTCCATTTTAATGGAGTCAAAATAAAGGGCCCTCTTCCAACCTCATGTGCTATGGTGGCTATGCCAATGGGCTAAGGAACGATCTCTCTTTTTGTTCATTAAGGCGATGCGTTAAAAGGGGCTGCGACACTCTTTCAAATAATTGTTGAATGACTTTTTTAAAGGCATTTATTGCCTCTCAAATCTAGTGCCACAAAAATTTTTACCGTCTGTCTAGTACAGGCATAATTAGTCACATGGTATAAGGAACCCGTAATCCACCCAGGGGTTGAAATTTACTAGTGGTGTTGCCATTGTGTGCGAGTCTACAGCGAACTCGTAGCAGCGAGAACTTTTTGAAACGGTGCCGTAATAACGGAGTTATGCGCCATTGGTGATATAAAAGAGGCCCTCGCTCGTTTTGCTTTTAACTTGTTCTCGTCAGCTCGTCTCTCCTCCTGACAGAGTTCTCCTCCTTATTGTGCGAGGAGAAAAAGCGAGGAGCGCTTGTACTTGTGACTGGTAAGACAGCTTTGTAGAGGACGAGCCGATGACGTGCTGATGTTGCGACCTACACCTGAGGACATGAATTCTGGTGAAGGGACGGGGGATGGGAAGGGATCCTTTCTTGAAATTTGGGGGTCACCCACAGCTTGTAGTGCTGCTGCGTTTGGCATTGTCGTAAGAGGCATGAGGCTCGTGCGGAACATGGAAGCATGGTGACCCTCAGGTGAGCTTTTTTTTGAAAAAAAAAAAAAAAAGCTCACCTGAAGGCACATGCGCCAGCCACGTCGTCGCAGGAGATCGGTCGAAAAGGGCTCCTGGCTTGTGACCAGAGCCGTGGTGAAAAATCCCACAGGATGAGCTGGCACTGTGCATTGGGGGTCCGAACTGCGAAAACGTGGGAAAGGAGTGTCGCTACGGCAACAGGAGCTGCATAACCGCCTGGTTCTGATGGATGTTGGCATGAAGAGGCTCGGGAAGTGGCCATCGACCTCGGAGGTTCGAGTGAGGCTGCCCGGACTTGTCGCACCTTTGCCCTGCAGTTGCTGGTGGATGTGCAGCTATCTCACTTTGAGCCTGGACGGTAGCTGCCCCCACCATTCCACTTCGAGCCAGGTATGGTAACAGTCCACACCAGTCATTTAGGGGACATATCAGCAGGAAGTCCATGACGAGCTAAGCCTAGCGAGGCCGAAAATTGAAACGAGGACCGGGATATCGGCTATGAGAGGAGCGGTTCGTTCAGCGGGATCAACCGATGGTAACTAAAGAAGTAGAGCAACTCGTCAACGACGGAGGACCTGATTACTGCTCGACACAGCAAGGGGCAACGAGTCGCAACGCGGCGAGCTGTAAGAACATTCCATTGTTGACGCCATACTGACTTAGGGCTAGCGGCTATGGCTAGTGATAATTTTTACTGAGCTACCGTCAGTTTGGGTTCGCCGATGCACTTGGATTGTTATTGTCATTGAGTTTTTGAGTGTTATTGAGTCTCATTAATTCATCCTTCGCAAGAGCTCCCACGATAAATTTGTGACAGGCATTCTGATTATAATGTGCACATTTACTTTAAATAATAATTAATTATTGGACGTCGTTTAGGGCTCCTTTAAGTGAGGTGGCGTCTTGAAATGAGGACACGCTCTTGAAATGAACAGACACAGTTAGCACGGTTGGACCCAACGAAAGAACACCCTTTATTTAACTACTTTTACAACGACGGTATCACCAGCCGAATCAAAGTACACTGGACTCCCAATAAACGAAACTCGCTTAGGCAAAATGCCTCATTAAAGGAACTAAACGGGCTCATATGGCTGGATTTCTATGTGTTGCGCAGTAAAATTCATTGGTTAATCGAAACAGTACTTATTGGTCACCTACGGTTAAACGGCACAAACTCTTAACACAGCATAGACTCCTTCAGCCCAAAGGCATTGTTACAACCATGGCAACACCTCGAGACGAGCCAATCCAGTAGCCATTTTCACTTGTGTGGTGGCTGTGGGAGCCGAGTCGGCGAGTCAGTTGTGTCTTAGGCCTACTTGTGCGGCTAAGTGCTGTGGATAACGGTGTTATTTCAGTCAGATGGAAAGGAAGGGGCCGCACCATGCACTCGTGCTTGAATAAAAGCCGCGAATTCTTCAGGAGCTCAATCGAAGCAGCTGGCCAAAAATCGAGGTGGCGACAAAATATGACATCCCAAAATCGAGGCTGTCGCAGATCTGTAACGACAGAGAAAAGATTGAAGGCGCTGTAAAGAATGGAACCTTCACCTCTGAGCGAATACTGATGCCGATGACGCCTTATGAACAACTAGAAAAAACTTTTTTTTTCTGCGGTTCAAGCGTACACAGAGTTCCGATTTGCCCATAAGCAGACCAATTCTCGAGCAGAAAGCTCGAGAAAACGCCATGCACATGGGTGTTAAGAACGTCCTATGCGACGGATGGCTGAGCCGCTTTAGAACACGCAATCTCAGGTGAGAGTGCTGCAGTCAACAGAAGCATTTGAATCAACTGGCAACAGGGGCGGCACAAGGAAATTTTGATGAGCTTTGAGGCACGAGGCATCTTCAACATCGACGAGATGGGTCTTCTTTATAAGGTGCTTCCATCAAAGACTCACCTTCAAAGGCGAAGTCTGTAGTGGAGGAAAATGCAGTAAACATTGCATCACTGTGCTGGTGGGTGCAAACATTGTAGGAGATGAGAAATTGAAGCTGTTGGTAATAGGAAAGTCAAGGCACCCACATTGTTTCAAAGGCATTCGATACCTTCCCGTAGCGTACCATGCAAACGGAAGAGGGTGGATGACCATGGCCATTTTTGAAAACTGGCTACGCGAGGAAGACCCAAGATTTACGAGGCACGACAGGAAGGTTGTCTTCATCGTCGATCATTGCCCAGCCCACGGTCAGGTTGAAAGACTCCAAGCCATCACTCTGGAGTTCTTGCCAGCCAATGCAGTGGCAGTGATCCAGCCGATGGATTAAGGGGTTACTCACAACATTAAAGTTCATTACTGCAGACAATTGCTTCATCTAATGATGCTTTGTGCAGACAACGGGAAATGCTACAGCATAGATCTTTGGCAGCCTACCACATTTTAGCTCGTACCTGGGAACAAGTGAAGCCAGCAACAATAAACAGATGCTTTCATCATGCTGGTTTTCAATTGCAAGAAGCAGTACTTGATAAAGAAGAAAGCCCTGCTGGTGCCGACATTGAGGCAGTATTCAGTGAGGTCGTGCCCTCTGTCCCTTTCACGCTGCAGGACTACGAATGAATTGATGAAAATGTACGTACCTGCTGTGAGGACTGTCGAGGAAATCATTGCGAAGTGCAAGATGAGGATCAACCTTCCAGCGATGAATATGATGACAATATTGCCAGTGCATTGGTGCCACTAGACCTCTCAGCTAAAGAGGCTGTTGAACTTTTACAGCGCAATTTTGAGCATGAGGCTTGTCCAGAATTTCTGGCTAGTTCGTCAGGCATGGGTGCGTACCTTGTGAAAAAACAACTACCGTATTTACTCAAATGTAACGCGAGTTTTTTTTTCAAAATCTATCGGCAGTGATTTGGGGGTCCGTGTTATAATCGAAGCACCTCAAATCGTGCCTTGGCGGTGCCGCCCCACTGGTTCCTTAAAAATGGCTACGACAAACCTAGCGATCTTTCAACCTTGTGCTGGCAACATATGCACGCTGGCAACATCGAATTCAATCCAATCTTATTGTTCGCGACGTGTTTTGCGGGCGGTTCATTTCCTTTGTGCTTCCGCAACTTCGGCTCGAGCAAATGGCAGCGCGACGAGTTCGGTACGATGCCCGCTTTAAGAGAAGTGCAATACTGATGGCTGAGGAAATCGGGAACTCAGCCACGGCTCGACGGCTAGATGTGGCGAAATCTACTATCCGTGAGTGGAGGTTTTAGCGTGAAGCGGTCTTCAAGAGTGAGCCCGGCCGAAAAGGCTTCCGTGGACCTCGTTGTGGCCATCACACAGAACTCGAAAAAAAAGTGGCGGAGTTCGTGATTGAGCAGCGAAATCGCCTATTGTGGGTCAACGTTGAGCTGATTCAGTGGAAAGCCCGAGACGTAGCTCGAGAGATGGGGATCCCGCAAGAGAACTTTAAGGCTTCACGTGGATGGGCACGAAAGTTCATGCGAAGAAATGGATTTTCCCTCCGGCGAACAACGTCGATAAGGCAGAAGGTACCAGCAGATTGCGAAGCGAAGCTAGTAAAGTTTCAGCGCTATGTGCTCGACCTGCGCCGCTCGTCGCAAATGCTGTTGGGGCACATTGGCAACGCGGACCAGACTCCCGTTTTCTTGGACATGCCTATGTCAAGGACTGTCAGCGAAACAGGTGCCCCCCAAGTTCGCATAAGGACAACAGGCAACGAGAAGACGCGGTTAACGGTGATGCTAGCCTGCTTGGCGGATGGGCGCAAGTTGCCGCCATACATCATTTTCCGGCGCAAAACCATCCCGAAGGAGCTGTTCCCCAGGGATGTGATTGTTCGCTGCCAAGAGAAAGGTTGGATGGACACTCCGCTTATGCTTGACTGGGGTGCCTACGGCCAGGTGCGCTCCTCCACCCCGCCTCCGTCCTAGTTCTCGACTCATTTCGCGGTCACCTGACGCCCGTAGTGAAGAAGCTGATGCGGGAAACTCAGACGCAGCTCGCTATTATTCCCGAAGGTATGTTGTCCGTGCTGCAGCAATTAGACGTCTGCCTGAACAAACCATTTAAGGATAGAATGCGGCAGCTGTACGGAGAATGGATGCGAGAAGATCGGGCTTTGACACCTACGGGTAGGATAAAGCGACCTAGCGCCGCGAAGATTGCCGAGTGGGTGTCCGCCGCTTAGTACGCGCTGCCGCACGACATGATAGTTTGCGCGTTTAAAAAGTGTTGTATATCGAACGATATG